AGGTCCTCTGCTGGACCTAGGCACCTCAAACTTCAGGTTTCACGTTCAAACATAAGAAAGATCCATACTCTCAAATATTTTCTTTAAATTCCTTTTTCTGTTAACGGCAGTGATACCCGAGAAGCTCAGTTAAGCTCTTTCTATTGGTAATAGCAAAATTCAATGATTTTTTTTTTTAATCATGGATAATTTCCTATTTACCTTTTGGGCTGTAGCAGGGAAGGAAATGGAGGTATAGTTCTTACACTGGATAGCCTTGTTTCGACCAGGACCCCATCAAACAGAGGCTGTGAATCTTTATCTTTGCATTAAAAGATACCTCTGCGTTAAAAGAAAGTTGAAGGATTTTGCTAGGATTTAAGGTTTCTATTAATAAAAAATTAAACCAAACCATAATTAAGTTGTCATTCTTCCTTTTGTTGTCTGTCCTTACTATACAAAAGATGCAAAAATTCTGAGAATAAATATATCAGTATGTTATGATTTTCTAAGTGATTGTCACTTGTCTTTTCTCTACTTATTTTGTATTTTTATTTCAGCATGAGAAAAATAAATATTTAATATCCCTGTGAAATGTGATAAAATTATCTTTTTAGCTCTTCGTGAAGTACAACACACTTAAAAGATTGGGAGTGGGAAGAGATTAAAATAAGTGTCTTGGAATACAGATGAAATCTGTTGCATGAAGACAACTTGCATTATTTTATTTTATTGCTGTATATGCATAACATTAGCAAAATAACTGATGTTAGTAAACAGATTTATTCCTTTTTTCTTTATTTTAGAGAAAGGCATTTCTTATTATACCAGCATCTCACTTTAGATGCTTAGAAACAAGAATATAATAATTTTAATAAAAAAATAACTTGGAAGTAATAAATATTTTGGGTGATATTCTAACTTTAAGTGGGGCGTGAAGAGTTAAGAAGGGAAGAAGAATGTCATAGGAGAGCTGCTGTTGACTAGGCACAAAGGCCTACAGTTTCAGTCTTCTGGTTCCTTGCATTGAAGGCACTTCTGAATGCTATAGCTTCCTTCTTAACATTCCCAACATGCTGATTTTGCTTTTATTTCGTTTCAGTTCTCAAGACTGTAAATGTCATATACATTTATTTTTCTCATTCTAATTTGTCCTTAAACTGTCCTTATTTCTTAAGAGCAAATGGTCACTATTGGATATTAGAAAGGCATTTAGCACACTACAAGCTCCAAATTAAATGAAGGACGTTTGGGCTGGGAGGAGGGATGGTTTTGCAGCACGCTTTTTCTTGAGCAAATGTATGCACTCTTCACCTTCTTTCCATTATAAATACAGTATTGAACTTTGCTTTGGTAGGGTGTCTGAAATTAACATCTTGTTTCGTGACTCATGATAGAAGGGGGTAGGCTGACATTCTCTTATTAATCATGCATATAAAGGGAATGAGCTTTCCGCTTGTGCCAGGAGGGAAATACCAAGTTTCCATTGCACAACTGTATCGTTCAGTTTACCAGTCCTTCCCATGAACTTGTCTTTGCTGATCTGCCAGAACCACAAAGTGGTTGATTTTTGTATCCTTCATAATAAATCATCTGTGAGGAAAAGGAAACTGCAAGCATGGATGCTATCAGTGTTCCTGCAGCTGAAGAACCTACACCCC